AAAAAAAACTGAGTGTTGCTAGATGGGAGGGAAAAAGTGCGGGGATCAGAAAGCATATTCAGTAATCACAAGATTGCCACGGGGGTATGGAAGACAGTTTGGGGAATATCATCAATAATGTTGTAAAGATTTTGTAGGGTATCAGATGGACACTTGTTTTATTAGGGAGACCACTTCATGGACAGTGTAGGTGCCTGACCACTACAGTATACACCTAAAGCTGAAGCTGAATAATAATGAATGTCAACTATAAATATATATATTCACAGGATGTGGAGTACAGCATAAAGAATAGAATCAGTGGAACTGTAACAGCTATATACGATGTCAGAGGTGTGGTAGATTGGGGAGGGGGTTATCAATTTCTGAGGGGTATAAATGTCTAACTATTACATTGATTTGTAAACCTGAAACTAATTAAAAAACAAAAAGACACTTAACATTACATCTTAACGAATTAGAAAAAGAAGAACACATGAACCCAAAGCCAGCAGAATGAAGGAAGTAATAAAAAATTTGAACAAATTAAATGAAGTAGAGTAAAAATGACAATAGAAAAAAATTAGTGCAACAAAAAGCTGATTCTTTGAAAAGGTTAATAAAAATGAGAAACCCTGGGCTAGACTCACTAAGGAAAAAAGAAAAGATACAAATAAACAAAATCAGAAATGAAAGGGGAGAAGTTACCATGGATACCACAGAGGATCATACAAGATACATAGGATCATACAAGAATAATATGAAGGACTATATGCCACCAAATTCAGTAGTCTAGATAAAATGAACAATTTCTTAGACATATATAACCTTCCTAGACTGAATTATGAAGAGCTGGAAAATCTAAATAGACCAATCAACAGTAAGAAAATTGAATCAAACATCCAAAACCTTCCCAAAAGCAAAAGTCCAGGACCAGATGGCTTCACTAGTGAAGTCTATCAAACATTCAAAGGTGATTTAATACCTGTCCTCTTCAAACTCTTCCAAAAAATTCCAAAGAGGCAATACTTCCTAACTCATTTTATGAGGCCAACATTACCCTGATACCAAAACCTGGTAAAAATAACACAAAAAAGAAAACTACAGACCAATATCTCTGATGAATACAGATGCAAAAATCCTGAACAAAATACTAGCAAATCAAATATAAAAATGCATTATAAAGATTATACATCATGGTAAAGTGGGTTTCATTCCAGGGGCATAAAGATGGTTCAACATATGAATATCTATCAATGAGATACACCACATAAACAAAATAAAGGATGAAAATCAGATGATTATATCAATAGGTAGAGAGAAAGCATTTGACAAGATACAGCATCCATTTATGATTAAAATGATTAATAAAATGCTTATAGAAAGGATGTACCTCAACATAAAAGAGGCCATACATGACAAACCCTCAGTTAATATCACAATTGTGAAAAACTGAAAGCTTTTCATCTAAAATGAGGAACAAAACAGGGAGTCCCCTTGTCACCACTGTTATTCAACATAATATTGAAAGTTCTAGCCAGAGCAGTCAGGCAAGAGAAAGAAATAAAACGCATCCAAATTGGGAATGAAAAGGTTAAATTGTCACTTTTTGCAGATGAGATGACATGATTATTTATATAGAAAAACCTGAAGACTCCACCAAGAAACTATTATTATAGAAACAATAAACACATCCAATAAAGTTGCAGGGTACTACTTTACTTTTTATTTTGTACACAATGTACAAAAATCCATTGTGTTCCTACAATATATACTAACAATGAAATTTCAGAAAAAGAAATGAAAAAAAGCACTTCCTTTTGCAATTGCAACAATAGGTTCTCTGTACCTATTGATATAATCGTACCTAAAATACCTCAGAATAAAGTTAATAAAGGATATGAAGGAGTTATACACTGAAAACTATAAAACATTATTAAAAGAAATTGAAGAAGTCACAAAGAAATGGAAAGATATTCTGTGTTCATGGATTGGAAGAATCAACAGAGTTTAAATGGCCATGTTACCCAAAGCTATATACACATTTAATGCAATCCACATCAATATCCAGTGGCATTTTTTCAAGAAATAGAACAAAATGTCTAACTGTTACATTGTTTTATATACCTGAAACTAAAAAAAAAAGAAAAAAAAAAGAAATAGAAACAAAAAAGCATCAGATTTGTATGGAATCACAAAAGATCCCAAATAGCCAAAGCAATCCCAAGAAAAAAGAACAAGGCTGGAGGTATCACACTCCCTGACTTCAGCTTGTACTACAGGGTGACAATAATCAAAACAGTCTGATGTTGACAGAAAAAGAGACACACAGACCAATAGAATAGAATTGAGAACCCAGAAATAATCCCACATAAATATGGACAGATAATTTTTGATAAAGGAGCCAAAAACATACAATGGAGAAAAGAAAGCCTCTTTAATAAATGGTGCTGGTAAAATTGGAAAGCCACATGCAAAGGGATAAAACTAGACTGCTGTCTGTCACTGTATACCAAAATTAACTCAAAATGGATAAAAAACCTAAACGTAAGACCTAAAACAATAAATTGCATTGAAGAAAGCATAAGTACTAAAGTTATGGACCTTGGGTTCACAGAGGATTTCATGAATTTGACCTCAAAGGCAAGGGAAGTAAAAGCAAAAATAGATGAATGGGACTATATCAAACTAAAAAGCTTCTGCACAGCAAAAGAAACCATCAACAAAACAAAGAGGCAACCAACCAAATGGGAGAATATATTTGCAAACAACGCCTCTGATAAAGGGCTAATATTCAAAATATATAAAGAACTCATACAACTCAACAACAATAAAAATCCAAACAATTCCATTAAAAAAATGGGCAGAGGACCTTCACAGACACTTTTGCCCAAGAAGACATAAAAACAGCCAACAGATATATGAAAAAATGCTCAACTTCATTAGCTATTAGGGAAACACAAGTGAAAACCATAATGAGATACCACCCTACACCTGTTAGAATGGCTGCCATCAACAAGACAAGTAATCACAAGTGTTGGAGAGGCTGTGGAGAAAAAGGAACCTTCATACACTGTTGGTGGGAATGTAAATTGGCATAGCCGCTATTGAAAACAGTATGGAGGTTCCTCAATAAATTAAGAATAGAATTACCATGTGACCCAGCAACCCCTCTTTTGGGTATCTACCTAAAAACATCTGAAAACGTTTATCCGTAAAGAAATATGTGCTTTGATGTTCATTACAGCTTATTTATGGTGGCCAAGACATGGGGACAACGAAAGTTCGATAGATGATTGGATAAAGAAGATGTGGTATATATACACAATGGAATACTATTCTGCCATGAGAAAAGCTGAAATACTGCCATTTGTGACATAGATGGATCTTTATATTATCATGCTAAGCAAAATAAGTTAGACAGAAAAAGTCAAGCACCATATGACTTCACTCATATGTGGGATATAAAATTGAAAGCAACAAAGGAACAAGACAAACGAAGAAACAAAAACTCATAGACACATACAACAATTTAGTGGTTACCAGGGGGTAAGGAGGGAGGGAGGGTGGTATAAGAGGATAACAGGAATCAAATATATGGTGCTGGAAGGAGAACTAACTCTGGGTGGTGGATGCACAATGCAGTATATAGATGATGTATTATGGAAATGTACACTTGAAATCTATATAATTTTACTAACCAATGTCACCCCAATAAATTAAATAAATAAATAAATAGAATATTTAAGAAATCATTCAATAGGGGGAAGAAGTATAACCAAGTTAAGACTGTGGGCTTTAGAGTCAGATGGCCTAGGTTCAAATACCACCTCTGCCACTTACTAGCTGTGACATACAGCAAATTACTTTGTCTTTGTTGCTGGTTGGATTCCCCAGGAAGCAGACTCTGAAACAAAGATTAGCATGCAGGATACATAGTAGGGAGAGCCCTTGGTATCAACACCTGTGAGAGAGGAAGGACCCTTGTTATCAACACCTGTGAGAGAGGAAGAATGCAGGCATGAGCAGAGGGAGAAGTTGGGCTGTGATGCAGTTCCAGTGAAGGCCTCAGCTGTCTCCCACAGGGTGCTCTGGAGCTAGGATGTAGATTTTAAGAGTTGTTCCAGGTGAGGCAAGGGGTTCAGGTCTTTGTAGCCCCGTAATGATCAGTCACTGGATGTAGCTGATGCTGGAAGGAGGCACAACCTTATGCGAGGCAATTTTCTTAAGCAAAGGCAATTTCCAAAGAGGACTGACATCAAAAGGCCATCTTCTGGCAGCACTTCCAACAGCTGAAATTAAGCCTTTTATTTTTGAAGGGGGTCTGAGCAATGCATCATAATGTCCACCACAGTCTCCGTACCTCCATATTCTCTCCTGCAAAATAGAGATAATAATTATTCCAACCTCATAGAGCTGTGATGAGGATTAATGCCCTTAGAAGAGTGCTTGGCACCCAACAAATGTTAACTTGTAATTTAATGCAATAAAACTCTTAACACTGGTAGAGGCAAGTGCTCAATGAATGCTAGTTTTGGAGCCATAGTCAGACTTACAGATTTGTTATGTTACTGATGGAAAAGAACTTAGAAATCATTAAGAGATGGGGAAGTCAGAGCTCAGTGAGAGAAAGTGATTTGCCAAGTTCATTGGTGGAATATCCAGGTAGGGAACTGGGGGTCTGTGTCAGCTTGTAAAGTGTTAGTGAGCTATTAAAGGAGCTACATGTGACTGGGCTCTTATAGTCTCTCACTTCATGTAGGTGAAACATACATGCTCCATTGGTGTCAGTCCCTTTACCTGTAAGCTGTTGGTGCAGGAGTGGGCTTTGACTTTTATTCCATTTTGTCTGTGACAAGGATCATGTAAGAACTGGAGGAATCTGTGAACATTATTTCAAAATTGACAATGTAATCCTGATATTTAGAAACTGAGGAAGCCGACCAGCTTTGGTCTGTATGGGAAGGTTCTTCTCTGGTTCTCTGAGACTGACCACTTTACCTCATTGCATTTGTTTCAAGGGTTCTGCGCCAGCCGGTGGACAGGATTTATTTTGCAGGCACTGAGACTGCGACACACTGGAGTGGCTACATGGAAGGGGCTGTGGAGGCTGGGGAGAGAGCAGCCCGAGAGGTAGGGTCTGGTGTCATGGGCTGTGGAGAACATGGCAACTCATGGGCCTGACAAGCTGGTCAAAGATGTCTGAAATCCTGAAGGCCAATTCACCAGTAACTTCCATTTGAAGACCCATGAAACACAATTTTAACAGTAGTTTTAGGTAAAGCAAACACCTTAACCCAAAAGTAACAACGAAACTATCTATCATTTCACCCAAGGTAAAAAGAGCCCATGGGGCAAAAGATTACTATGACTATACTTGAAAGATAGCTTAAGTCTAACATTATAGAACCAAGCATGTTGCTATTAGGATTCAGAATTCATTCATATATTTCCCGACAATTCCTCTGATCTCATCCCTATTAAGCCATGTTCACAACTATTATAATTTATGGTGAGCCTAATGATCAGAGCCTCTTATGCCATCAATAAAAGACTTTCTGGAGCCTTTTAATGGTTGAGTGGACTATCTTAGCTTTTATCCTAGCATTTTTGATGGCTATCCTGAGACTCAGTCAGTCCTTTATTTAAAGAGCAGATTAAGAGAAAGATGGCACCACTTTTGTTATTCGCCAGGATACTCTTCCTTTTCAGATCCTGTATACCATGAAGAAGATCCCAGAGGATGAAATCTGGCAGTCTGAACCAGAGTCTGTGGTAGGTTATATTTTATTACATGAATTTAAATCTCTTTCCTCTAAAAGCAATTATTTGCAAAAATAACACCATTGTATATATTCACATACTTTTCCCTAAGTGACTCAACCCATGAATGTTTAAAGGGATACCATGGACTAGGGCAGAGGTGAGAGATTTAGAACAACATTCATAAATTTGTAGCTGCCACATTCATTACAGATTGTTAGGATACACACACACACACACACACACACACACACACACAGTGCCAAAAAATGTATATACATTTTAAGAAAGGAAAACTGTATTAAAATTGTAATACTCAATATATACTGATAACAAAAGATGAATATAACTCATCTTTGACTTCTGCAATTACAAGAGATGCTCAAAATGGTTGCCATCAGTGTCCAGACACTTCTGATTATGGCGAACTACTGCTTGAGCAACATTGACCAAAGTGTCCACTTGTATACATTTTTTGGCATCCCCAGTACACACACACACACACACACACACACACACACACACACACACACACATATGTCAGAGAGCTCTAGACATATTAAGAACTCAGCACATGCCTGTTTAATAAATTTATAACCTGGTGGTCTCAGCAGGAGATAGGAAATTAAAGGCAGATATGTCAGCATAACCCTGTCCAGGGACAAAGGGATGGAATGAAATGGAGCAGATTTAGATTAAAAATACATTTTTGATATATGCACTATTACTTTTGTAATAAAACACCAAGAAGTCTTCCTGACTAGATGGACACATACAGGATAGAGTGAAATGCATTGTAGAGGACAAGGGTCAAAAAGGTCAAAGTTATTCCTCTATCAAGTGTGAAGTAAAAAAGAATAGCCCTGTCAATCCAAGTCATTCTCTTAGTGCTTCTGTCAGAGATGTGATTGAGGACTGAGTGGTCTATAGATTTATTCAACTCAATAACTATATATTGTGCACCTACTCTGTACCAGTTTCTGTGATAAGGGTATAACAGTGCTTTCACAGAGCTCAACATGTGGTTGGGAAAACAGATGATAACCAAAATGTGCAAGAGTGATGAAGAAGACATGCTGGAAATTATAAAAAGAGGGAACATCTTAGCCTGGAGACACAGGAAAGGCTCCCTGAGGAGGTAGATATAAACTGAGACTTGAAGGATGAGTCAGAATTAGTCAAAGAAAGGTCTCAGTGGGGAATGGGGATGTGCGTTATGACCAGAGGGAATGTTATGTTTAATGGGCCAGAGGTTGGCAAGAGTGGGTCATGTTCAGAGAACTGGAGGAAATACAGACTTTTTGGAGTGAAGTACACAAGCCCTATACTGACACCAAATGTTCTCTGAACCCAGGATGTCCCTGCACAGCCTATTACCACAACCTTCTTGGAGAGACATTTGCCCTCTGTGCCAGGCCTGCTGAGGCTGATTGGATTGACTACCATCTTTTCAGCAGCTGCTCTTGGCTTCCTGGCCCACAAAAGGGGGCTACTTGTCCGGGTCTAAAGAAAAGCCATCTGTAACCACACCCTCTTCCTCTTATATGTAACATCCTCATCTTTCAAGTTCTCTGCATTTGTCCTTAGAATCCTGTATTGTTATAGCTGGAAGACCTTAAGACCATCTAGTCCATATCATCTATTTTACAGTTGAGCCAACTAAAGCTGAGAAAGGTGGAACTTAGTTGCCCAAGGTCCACAATAAGCCACTGATATTTTGGAGACTAGAACACAGGTCCATTGCTTTCCCCAAATCCTGGGATATATGCCCCAATAACCCATGTCTACTCTCTGCTATGGCTGCTGATGGTATCCCCTTGTTTGAGTTTATTCTATACTAAGATGTTAAGCACTATAACTGTACTACTTGTTCTGTTGTTATGCAATAAAGTTGATTCGCCAGATATCTGTTGTTGTTTTCTTTTGGGTAATGACTTTCAAGGTTTTAACAAATCAATTCAAGATCCAGTATTAGGGTATATATACAATAATTGTGGCTTTAAAGCATTTAGTCAAAATTTCCATGAAGCACAGATGGTGCATGCATTTTGATTGTGTGGTCCATCATGGGTGGTGTGTGTGTGTGAACACTTGGTAAATGATTTATAATGATATGATAAGGATACTAAAAGACAGAGCTCCTTGCTTTAACTCCCCGAAAAATACTGTCAAAATAATTGACATATTAATAAGCAAGATTCTTTAACTATTAAGATAATTATAATATTTCATCTGACCTTTCATATTCCTTACCTGTGCAAAGCTTTTATTAGGTACACTCATTAATTTAAAACTACAGCTTCACAGTCCATTAAATTCTATTTGAACTACTCTTCAAATGGTATCATCATTTTAAAGGACTCATACCTCTCAACTCCCAAGGTCAGTTTTTTATTAGGATATATTTTAAATCCATAAATGACCATTCTCACATACTCCATTCGAAAATGAAGCTTATTCTTACATAAATGTAATTTAAGAAATCCCCTAGGATTAATCAATAACAGTATAGAGTTTCTGATGTTACAGTGACATTTACATTCATGAATTTATAGGAACTTTAGAGACAAAATGAGGGAATTAGAGAACCCACTAAGGCTTTCTTTGTAAATTTTGTGCTTTGAACCTGTCTAAAAATGTAGTGTAATTGACATAACAATGTCTTCTTGAGCGTGCTCCCCTCCAAAAAGATCCCTCCCCAAGTAGTCACATTACTAACTCTAACACATCCATTAAATCAAAACCACAATGAGATATCAACTCATGCCTGCTAGAATGGCTAGCATCCAAAAGACAAGAGAAAACAAATGCTATAGAGGATGTGGAGAAAAGGAAACTGCACTGTTGATGGGATTGTAAATTGGTGCAGCCACTATGGAAAACAGTATGGAGGTTCCTCAAAAAACTAAAAATAGAACTACCTTATGACCCAGCAATTCTACTTCTGGGTATGTATCCAAAGGAAACAAAATCACTCTGTTGAAGAAATGATTTGTACCCCCATGTTCATTGCAGCATTATTTATAATATCCAAGATATTGAAGCAGCCAAAGTATCCATCAGCAGATCAATGGATAAAAGAGTTGTAATTGATTCTCTCTCTCTCTCTCTCTCTCTCTCTCTCTCTCTCTCTCTCACACACACACACACACACACACACACACACACACACACTGGAATATTCAGCCATAAAAAGGAGGAAATTTGCCATTTGTGACAACATGAATGGACCTTGAGGCCATTATGCTAAGTGAAGTCAGTCAGAAAGAAAAATATGGTACGATCTCATATGTGTAATCTGGGGGAAAATAAACTCTAAGAAAAATATCAGATTGTGGTTATCAGCATGGGAAAGGGGGAATTAGATGAAGATTGTCAAAAGGTACAAACTTCCAGTTATAAGATAAATAAGTTCTAAGGATGTAATGTATAACATGATGATTATAGTTACTTCTGTATGGTATATATGAAAGTTGTTAAGAGAGCAAATCCTAAGAGTTTTCATCACAAGAAAAATTGTATATATATTTCTTTTTTTACTTACATGAGATAATGAATGTTAACCAAACTTATTGTGGTAATCAAATCTCGATATATCTAAGTCAAATCATTATATCGTATAGCTTATACAATGCTGTATGTCAATTATATCTCAATACAACTAGAAAAAAGATTTACTGAATGAAAAAATAAAGGTCACATAAGGAATTACCTTCTCCAGGAATCTCCTGGGCCATTCATCCTCCAGTTGGGAGAGGTGGCCTTTTGTTCTCCTAGTGCTACATGCATAGATCTCATGTCCTGCACTTACACATTATATTGCAATTGTGCCATCTTGTTAAATTACATGATTTGACTGAGGTTCCAAGTCACATTAGATATAATTTACCAAGAAAATACTGAGATAGACAAATATTGAAAACTTTAAAGGAAAAAAATCTCAAAACCAGTTTCTTTTCTGTTGAAACTCCTCACCAGTTTTGAGAGTATAAAAAGAGTGTATTTCTGAAGGGATAGATCTGTGAAGAAATCTCTTTAGAGACAGCTGCCATGCTTAGGGTCCAATTATACCCCAAAAGAGGACAGAGTGCTTGCTACCTTCTCATCTCAAGTCTAGTGAGAGGAGTTGCAAGGAGGCCTATTTGAGAGCTTGACACACCCCTGAAGAGTCTAAAGCCCTGGATCTTGCTCAAGATGCTTTTGACCAGAGTAAAGAAAAGCCACGGAGACTTCAGGAAAACAGAAGCTGAATGGAGATCAAAATTGACTAACCAAAGAAGAGGAACTGCCTGTGTTGTGGTTATCAAAGTCAGAAAAGGTAACCCAAGTCTCTAAAAGAAACAGAAAGAAAAACTCACAAGTGTTCCTATGAGTCAATTCTCATAAAAGCCAGGCCCAGAGCATATAAAACTCTTACAAGAGTACCAGTCAAGTAGGATTGTTTAGTAATCCCTTTTCCCCCACTCCCTTTCCATGCTCAACCCAGAATCAACAGTTGACAAACTAAGCAAGGAATAGAGAGGAGAATTTGACTACAGGCTCCTTCCTACAAGATGGCACAACGGCCCCCAAAGCTGGTCCTAACTGGAAGAGGGGAGAAAAATTGAACTCTAAATCAAGTTCAGCGATTTGATTGTTCCACCATTTTCAACATTCAGTTTCTTCAATTGAAACTTTGCTTTGTAACTTAAGGAAACCTTAGAATTGCCTCTAATTTAAGAGTGATTGGTAGAGTCATAGACCTGCCAGGATTTTCAAACAGAAGAAGGGTTCTGAGAAGCTTCCCTCAGTGAATAGGCTTAAATGAACAGTGGAAGATAAAGTTGTGATTTCTTTACATCCTATTGAATGCATTGGTGTTCTTATTTATTTTTTAAGGAAGAGACTGTTTTCTATTCATCTTTTCATCTTTTGTATCTCTTATGGTGCCTAAGCCATCATAGTGTCTCAAAATACAAATGAAATAATTCCTGTGATTTTCATTGTAATTCTGGATTTGGCAATCCTGTTATACCCACTCTTTGTAAAGTGAGTACTTCTGTGCCCTCTTTTGCAGAGAGATAATTTTCACACTCATTTTGAAAGTATCATTTCTCTTGAATATATTGTAGTTGAAGTAGCACTGATAATTGGTTGGATTCAGTTTCATTCTTGGGTAGATTGATAAGTCTAAAGCAATGAGTCTCAACTGAGGGTGTGCACCAGAATTACTGGGGTGCTTTGGAAAGACCTACATGCCTAAGCTTGGAGCAATTAATTTAGCAAGTTGGGCCAGTGTCTTTATAGACCTTCTTTATGAAGGTCTTAGCCAAAGGCTAAGAATCACTAGTTCAAATGTACAGTAGGGCTTGGACATCTGGAGTTGAGCCTTACTCACAGGACTGCTGCTCTGCCTCCCCCATTCTCTTTCAGTTAACCCAGCTATATTGGGGTGAGAAGAAGATGCTTGTAAAAAAACTGGAGTAAAATGAAACAGTGTTGCTTTCTGAAAGTTAAGCATTAATTCAACAAATTAAAAAGTGAGACATGTTTCCTGGATCATAGGAACTAATTGACTAAAGGAAGACTATCTTGATTGGAAGGCATGGTTGTCTTAGGCTGGGTCTTCCCCAAAATCAGAGTCTCAAACAAGGGCTCTTAGGCATATATTAATAGTTCACTTTGGGAAGTGAGCTCAGAAAGCAGAAGTGGAACGGGAACAAGTGAAACAAGGAAGGATGGAAAGCCAATCCAAGGGTGTGTTAATGAATTGGTCACTGCTGTAGGCTACTGGAGCTCAGTCCTGCCAGGGACCCTCAGAAGGGATGCGCATAATACACCTCAGAATAGATCACCTGAAGTAACTAAAGAAGGGAGTATTTATCTGCCATGAGTCAAAGTGTTCCCTGGAATGTTAACTCCTTTACTCTTTGAGGTTTGCCCATGTATGAGAATGGCCACTAAGGATGTCAGTAAATTGCACATCTGATTGCGGTTGCTGTAGCGATGGCTGGAGTGAAAAGATAGGTTGAGAGGGTGTGGTGGTGCTCAAGAGGTGTCCTATATATAAGGGCCAACATGCAACTTAAAAGAGAAGTTAAGAGAAGCTCAGTATGGTGGGGGGTTGGTTTGTTTGCTTGCTTGTTTTTGTTCAAGAGAGAGATTCTGAATCTTGGTGGGGGGGGAGGGGGAATCTGTTTATGTGACACTCTTGTGGATATTTTAGTTATAAAAGTACATCCTAATTTGAGATCTTCAAGGCTGTACAACTGAGGTAATTGCCATGTGTTAGTAAGGTCTCATGCAATGAGGGTATTTATGAAATACTGAGTGCTTGTTGTGCCCGTGGTCTCCTTGTAAAAAAGTGGTCAGAAATGGATCCTTGCAGATAGATCATCTGCTTTTGTGATATGCTACCCTGGCTACAATTGACTGCACTGGGGTTAATTTCTGAGTCAAGGACAGCATTCTATTAGTGGTCAGTAGTCAAAGATTTCACCTGGCCCAAAGCCTTTCTGTGGCAGTAGTGAAGACAAAGTGGATAAAAAGAGAAAGCAGGCTAAGTCACCAGAATGGGATAATGATACCTGATCCTGTGGGTGTGACAGTAGAGGGCAGCTGTGTCACTTGACCTACAGAGGCATCTCAACAGCAAAGACCAACATCCCAGGACTTCATGAGACTGAACCACAGTAGGCTAATCTCCCCTACTTCCTCTCGGCTTCTAGTGTTTCTATGAGAACTGAGTTTAATTAACTAATAGAGATGTCTTTCCTCTGCCAACAGTCAACCGCCCCCCTCTTACCTGCTTCCTTTCAAACTTCAATTCTGCTTCCCCAATTATCAAGTCCTCTGTCACTGCACACCCTATAGGATCTTGTTTCTTGGACAATCTGTTAGGATCCTTTTACTTCCTTCTTAGCCT